GCCCAGTAAGAAATGAAAATGCAGGAGTTCTTTCTTCACCAATTATTACTGATTACTGATTTCAAAACAGTAACAGCAGAACATTAAACCAAGCATAAGATCTTTCTAGTACAGGGTCCTGTGTACAAGTGCACACCCGTGAAGCTTGTCTTGGGTTAAGGGTATAATTCCAAATATGATCAGCAAGAGAGTAAGAGACAGAGAAGGACTAAGCAATGAAGCTAGGAAGATATTTAACGTAAACAAGACAGGAACAATCATACAAAGGTTTGATATGAGCTTGGTCGTGGTTCCAGCCAAAAAAACTGAATGGTTGCCTCTAGTTTTTGCAATTTTCAATTGCTAGGGGAATTTTATAAGAGTTTGGACTTTTGCATGATAGATTGATTTGGGCTGTTACCACTCACAGGGCAACTCCAGTTTCTCTATATCTTTTAAAAAAATAATCACTTCTAGTAGTAAATGAGATTTTGAAGTTTATTGGCTGCTAAAAAGTGAAAGGAAACCCATTTTTTGATGCAAATTTCACTTTGGCAGACACGCAGATGAGAAGTAGAAACAGGAGCAGAGAAAGACAGGCGTCAGTGTTAGTGTAGTTTTCTAACCAGTCAAGCAGCTTGTAAAGCAGCCATATAGAACCTGGTGACTGTAACGGAGTGGTAAGAGTAAACCATTTAGCACAAAACAGAAATATTTGGGAATAAATACTGAATCTGTTTCTTATCATGTGGCATAAAGTTGCCTTGAGTGTTAGGTTTCATAATAGTTTACCTTAGTTACTAAGAAGTTGCAAACATACCAGGTTGGATGTCAGAGTCTGTGGCGTTTGTGCACTGGTAGCTGGCTGAAAGCAAAAGACTGACCTTTGTCCTGGTAAAATATAATTTCCTCCCTCTTCACTCTTCCTGGAGTCTTCAATAATTCCAGATCATGACCTACACTGAGTAGATCTTGGATATGTACAGATGATCTATTCAGAGTTTGAAGAGGGAACTGTAATAGGTCCCAGAAAAAATTTCATATTAGTATGCTCCATTTTCACAGCTCAACCCTGGCTTATCTAGAGATTGCTTAAATCTGCTTCAGTTCATCTGACTGCTTCAGGTTCAAAATGTCCATGGGGCATGGAGGCAGAGTAAGTAACAAGCCATCAGCGTGTGTGACAGAAAAGATAGCCCCCATCCTCTGGGTGTTAGTATTTTGGAGTGACAGGGCCAGGAGGGAGCACATAAGAAAAAGGCTGGAAAAGGGAAGATTATTATTAACATATCCAGTCTCATTGCTAGCATCTCTTGAATTTTTGTGGGTTAATGAGAGTTAATACAGTCCCCTCCTACATTCTGGTGAGCTGTAACTTTGAAGATAAAGAGCTGTTATATTATTCTAAGAATGTGGCCCAGAGAGTGAATATAGTCTTGAGTTCACATTTGGACAAAATTTTATTCTGCCTACTTTGAAGTGAGATTACAAAGGGCTTTTCCTTGACATCATATAGGCAGAGCATGGCTATCAGCTTTTTGCTAAACAAAACTGTCTGATTTGAGTAAGTGTCTAATAAGTCCTTCTTTTGTCCTATACTCCTGGAAGGGTACTTTGTTAGCATCTTTTTAGATGCAAAGTTGTAGGGTAAAGAATCTTTCTTGAGCTATCTTCTATCTATAAGAGATTTTAAAAATATTCTACACTGCAACTCCTCTATGACAAAAGTATTACCCCAAACTACTCCACCCCATGACATAGATAAGAACTTAGTGTTCAGAGAAGAAAATAAGATAACATATTTGTCCAATTACCAGGGAAGATTTATTAGTTTGGAGTGTAGCCTGGTAGGTTGGTTTGGGGGCTTTTATCACCCAGAAAGTAACTCTAGAATTTCTTTGTAAACTTTATCTTTTAAAAAAATATATGTAAGTGGTGGTTCTAGAATTTATATCCAGGTCTACTGGAACATATTCCTTCCCTGTATGGCTCAAGTAATTAGAATTTTCTATAGGTATAAAAAAATTCCATGCATTTTTAAAAATCAAGTGCTTATTTTCAAATGTTAAAAAAATCTCTCAACTTCTTATTAAATGTGGGAGATAATCAGAATCCTATAATCCATGCTATTAAGGATTTAATTTCTCTAGAATGACAGTAGGTGGCATTTATATTTCTTTGCTTGTTTTGCTATTACTGCTTTCATTGAGGTTATGACACATATGACTTTTTCAAAGATGAAGTTAAAAAACTCAGTCTAATCATACCTAAGCCATGGCCCTATAACAAATGCTAGGCCACTGTAAGGTTGTGTAGACTTTAGGGTATGATTTTATGGATTTTTTTTAATGTTTACTTTAAGTTCAGGGATACAGGTGCAGGTTTGTTATATAAGTAAACTTGTGTCATGGGGGTTTGTTGTACAGATTATTTTATCACCCATGTATTAAGCCTAGTACCCATTAGTTATTTTTCCTGACCCTCTCCCTCCTTCCACCCTCCACCCTCCAAAAGGCCCCAGTGTGTGCTGTTCCCCTGTGTGTCTCCATGTGTTCTCATCATTTAGCTCCCACTTGTAAGTGAGAACATGCAGTATTTAGTTTTCTATTCCTGTGTTAGTTTGCTAAGGATTTTGTTTGATGATTTTCCTATATTAAACTCACATTAAAATTTTTCAGAAGCTGTTTTAAGAAAGTACATAATTAAGATCAGCATTTTGGAATAATTTGAAAGTATAGTGTCTAATGAAGAGCTTGCTATACTAACCATAGTACTATTTAATTCTAATGTCTGTGTTTATTACATCTTTCGTTGCATTGGCTCGCCAAAAGGATAGACTGCAGTAATGTATTTAATGAGGAAGCCAGCATTCCAGAGTCTTCTTCATGCCTAATATTTGGCAGAATTAAATTTACTATATATTGCAGAAATTATTCCAAATAAGACTATTATCATTTATATTCTTGGCAGCAGAGAAAATGTATAGGATGTTTAATACAAAAATACTTTTGTACTATTTAGACTAGTACTGTAGATGTTAGCAAGACTAACAGAATAAGGCACATTTAAAAAATCCAGCTAATCAATTAGGTGTTCCCATAATTTTATGGCTGTTTCTCCAGGATCAGTTAGTTTGTTTTAAGGCTAAATTGACTTGGCAGGGTCTGACTGGGACAAAACTGATGGTTTTCTATTTGAGTGTCTTTGGAACATATATGGGTGTGGTTTTTACTTTGCCACATTCTTTTCTTACCTTTATATCATTTCTATATAGTCCATTTTCTGTGTGGGTTTTTTGCAGCAATGCTAGCTGCAAAACAGGAACTCAAAGATTAGCCAACATATGAGAAGCTTAGGAATGTTTACAACAATAGGTTGCTTAAAAGTAGATGGCAAAGCTTAGGGAGATTTATGAGCTGTAAAGGTACATATCCTTATTTCATTGGGATGTTCTTAATTGTAGTAAATCTTGTAAACTTTGTAGTAAATCTTGTTAAAGGGGTTTCCACACTTAAAATGGGCTCTTATGCAAGGACAGCCTTAGTGGTAAATGAATTGGACAGTAAATTCAGCAATCTGCGTGGTATGATTTCATATTCAAAGACAGTCTCTTAACTTGTGCCTCACATCCTGCTCATGGTTTGGACAGTTCTTTACCTCAAGGTTTTGCCATCTGTTAAGAGAAACCTTTTCCTCTAGGAAAAGGCAACACTAATGCTGATTCACTTATTTACCCTTGAGGGCAAATGGTTTTTTTTGATCTTTCATTAAAAAGGACACAATTAGTTCTGTCTTGAGGATTGCCAGATGAAATCTAACTAGTACCATACATTTTAGCCAGACTAACAGATTAAGACATATTTTTTAAAATCCAGCTAATCAGGATCATATTCAGAGATGTAAATAGAGTGAACAGATCTATTAACAAGGATCATAGATATGACAAAGGGAATCTCTTCACAGTCTTAAGATGTGGTTTCCCTGTGGCCTCAGTATCCCAAGTTATTTGGGGGAAAATATATTTTGAGCTCAGGATATGAAAAATGGAACCAGATCAAAGGTTTTTGTTTCTGTTTTTAAAGAATAAAATACTGTTGTTTCTGCTTCAATACCATAACTGGAAAAAAAGGCAAAGCAGTCATTTTAGCTTTTTTTTTTTTTTTTTTTTTTTTTTTTTTTTTTTTTTTTTTTTTTTTTTTTTTTTTCAGATTCTTAACCTCTAGGTTGTACAAAGAAAAACCTTCCAGAGAGATATCTCTCTGTAAGTCAATTTCAATAGGATAGTATGAACAATGAGCAAAGGGGGAGAATTTCAGAGTGCAGAAACCAGAACCATATCCCCAGTTAATGTATCTTAGAGGAAGGAGGTATTACATATTTTATAAAAGCACCTGACTTATTTTGATATGATGTGATCACTGAGAACCCTCTGAAAGTGTTCTTTAGAGGGGCTGTTAAAAAATATCAAGCCCTTATGACATGCTTGTGATTTATTATATTTGGTAGTTGGAATTATTAATGATGTGAAGATGCAACCACTAGCATTATTCAAGCACTGGTGTGTAATAGTGATGTTCTGGAATGTTGCACTCCCACTCTATTTTCTCTCTATGTAGTTTACCTTCTGGGTTAAACTTACTGCTAAAACAACACTTGGATCACTAGTACCTTCTAAAGGTGATCTGTGTAGCATTAAGTGTTAATGTTTTGCCAGACTGGTTTTGTCTCCTTCCTTATGTGTGTTTATTTATAATCTAAAAGGGAAAATAAGCTCCACCAGCTTGGTTGTTTGTATTTTTATTTTTAAAAATTGGGTTCAATTAAAAAAGAAACGTTACTCATCTACATTTGCAGGTTAGGATACAGCAATGCTTGACTATAATTAAGGACAATTTCAATAAGTGCCTTTTAATGTGCCTTTAGCAGAGAAACTGGAACAATTAGCTGGAAAATAATACATTATTTGCTTTATCTCCTACTGTTAGGCTTACCAACAGTGATTCTTTTTTTTTCCCCCTCAGATGTACATCCAGACAACAACACTTACTGTCTCCATGAGTTTAAGTGCTTCAGTGTCTCTGGGCATGCTCTATATGCCCAAGGTTTATATTATAATTTTTCATCCAGAACAGAATGTTCAAAAACGCAAGAGGAGCTTCAAGGCTGTGGTGACAGCTGCCACCATGCAAAGCAAACTCATCCAAAAAGGAAATGACAGACCAAATGGGGAGGTGAAAAGTGAACTCTGTGAGAGCCTTGAAACCAACAGTAAGTCATCTGTAGACTTTCCGATGGTCAAGAGCGGGAGCGCTTCCTAATAGATGTACGTTGAACATTCTTCTCTTAGTCTTGGGGATTGTGCTACATGTTTCCAGGGCCATGGTGGTACCCACATACCATGACACCATCACATTTAGAACCATTTGGCTAAAAAGGAATGGTGTCAAGACAAGTGGTTATTCTACACAGTACAAACTTGCTCAGAAATCTCTTTTACAAAGCATGACATTCAGATCTTTATTTTGAAGCATTACAAACTTGATATCTGAAAGCATCTTCTTTGTATAAAAAGTATCTTTTAGTGCTTAGAAATGATTCCATAATTTTTCTTGTTCAATATCAGCTGCTTTTTATGGTATCAGTAGTTTACTGATATTTATGGAATATGCTACTACATATCTGACACAAATAAATGATGTTATCTGTGCCTTTAGGGACATGAGAACCCTAGTTAGCCAATATGTTTAGTTAAGTCACAGTTAATACTTGTTTCTCCCAAGTGGTCCCCTTTCCTTGGCTTCCCGAGGGCTTCCCTTGACTTCCCTTCTTGGATATATTAAGATAATTGAAGTTTTTCTACTTTTTTTTTTTTTTGAGACAAAGTCTCACTCTATCGCCCAGGCTAGAGAGCAGTGGCTTCATCTCAGCTCACTGCAACTTCTACCTCCTGGGTTCAAGCAGTTCTCCTGCCTCAGCCTCCTGAGTAGCTGGGACTACAGGCATGTGCCACTACACCTGGCTAATTTTTGTACTTTTTAGTAGAGATGGGGTTTCACCATACTGGACAGGCTGGCCTCAAACTCCGGAATCTCATGATCCGCTTCAGCCTCCCAAAGTGCTGGGATTACAGGCGTGAGCCACCGTGCCTGACCGAAAGTTCTTCCTCAAAAGCTTCATGACCCTGGAAATAGACTCTTTTCTAGAACCACCTTTCCATTTGCCTTTTCTTCACCTATTTTCTTCTCTATAGTCCACCCAGAAAGAAGCACATGATAACAAGACACAGAAACCTGGGCTCAGCCAGTAGAATTTAACGGATCTATTGAGGTCCGTCTTGTTATCTATGAAAGAGTAGCAAATAGATTGAAGATTTATATGGTAAAATGCCAGAAAGCTTAGTATGATAAACATGACAGCCTTTCCTTACTAGGTTCTACAGATGAATCAAAAAAAAAAAAAAGAGTGGCTTCTAGTCTTTTGGAATATAACATAGGTATTCAATACTTGTTTTGTTTTGTTTTGTTTTGTTTTGTTTTGTTTTGTTTTCTGTTTGAAACAGGTACTTGCTTTGTTGCCCAGGCTGGAGTGCAGTGGTGTGATCTAGGCTCACTGCAGCCTCTACCTCCTGGGCTCAAGTGATCCTCCCACCTCAGCCTTCCAAATATCTTGGACTGTAGTCACGTGCCACCATGCCCAGCTAATTTTGTTTATTTATTTTATAGAGACAGAGTCTCATTATATTGCCCAGGCTGGTCTCTAACTCTTAGGCTCAAGTGATCCTCACACCTAGGCCCCCTAAAATGCTAGGATTACAGGTGTGAGTTATCACACCCAGCCAAGCATTCAGTAATTAAGGACAAAATTCTATGCAAAAGTATTCTCTTCCTCTCATATTCATCCACCAGTCTGTATCCCCTACTCTCCATACTTTTGACACTAAATACAAGAAAAAACTAAGAATTAATTTCATTTGGTTTAATTATTATAGCAACTCATGATCTACATTCGATCTATAAACCTTTTTTATCAAGATTTCTAGATGAGCATTGTCTATATCAAGGTACCATACACAGAACTACCCTGTGATAGTTGATTAGCATTGCTTAATTAGACATACTGGTTTCAGTTACTATCAGCTTATCTGGAATTATTAGCCAGATTGGCTCTAAAAAGATTACCTTCAGGTCACTGATACCAAATTTAGTCACTTGTAGAGAAATGAACCTTACAAGAATTTCATAAACACCCTCCACATATTCACTTTTCTGCAAACATGAAAACTTGTGGAGTAAGAAATATGAGAAGGCAAGGTAAGGATGGGCTTTAGGAACAAATCATTACAATCATCTCTGATTGTAGGGAAGCAATTTACTAATAATAAACCTATTTCAGCTCTTAGCAAAAGGCATACTATAACTGCCATTAAAGGCATCAAAGTAGAATGCTTGTGATTTGAGGAAAATTTTCATCTTTTTTCCTACCTTGAGAGCATCAGTGTAGGAAGTTGAAACCTATTACAGGATGCCAATAAACTGCTGTTGGCCAGTGATATAATTTGAACACTGGTACTTCTCAGCATGACTCACTGGAGTCTATTGTTGTACCTGTTTTTCTTTCTTTCTTTTTTTTAGCAGCCATCGAGAAACTTTATAAAATATGGTTGCCAAATAAAAGAACCAAACTTATAGTGAAATAAATACCAGTCATCCAGACTCACCTTTGGAAAGTGGTGGGAAAAAATTCTAATAACCTTTTCACCACTTTAAAGAATAAATAGATGCCCTGCAAAAGAAAATTCTCAGTATTGATAAGAACTAATCTCATATTATTGAAGTGAATCTCACACTCTTTTCCTTTGGTTCTTTTCTGTTAATATTGAAATGGAAATTATATAGCATGCATGTATTTCTCTGTTTTCTTAAAATGAGAATGAAATATTGCAAACACAAGGCCTATTTCGAGGGTAAGCCTATAATATTCTGGAGGAGTCAGATGCTCACTTTTAGGAGGTAAAGGAAAGTCAAGAAGTGAATCAAGATAATATCAATTACTACCAGAAAAAAGATTTAGTCGTACTTGGGAGATTTTAGTGGATTGATCTTTTACAGGGGTAGTTTAGGTTTGAGTAAGTTGGACCCGAAAAAGGTGATTTCAGTGTATTCATTCAAGAGAGAAAGACGTATGACATCTTCACACATCCTTCCACAAACCTACTCCAAGTCACCATTTTTAACCTTTGTTCACTTACATGGCCTTTCTATATGAAAGGGTACATTTGTGTTCAGAATGTTAAAGCTTCAAAATCTACACAGAATAAATATAAGCAATAGGAAGCTGGATGGGAAACCAGTGAGTACCGTGTTAATTGCTGAATTTGCAGACTATATTTTATATTTAGAAAAAAAGGTCAAGTGTTATTTCATAACAGAGTGTAAGGGAGTTAGAAACAAAGTTGATATATATGAATTTTGCCAACTGTACTCAATTAACAAATGCTGTACATAGTATTCCTCAAGCTATGCTCATGAATAATTCATGAAAACAGCTGCTGCAGGTAGATTTGTTTTCTCTAGCTTGTGAACACAGTGTGGTGCACACAAGGAAATTTACTGTTGCGGTACTCAAAAGCTGATTTTCATATAAGTATATTCATCACTGTGAAAAAAAACACTGGAAAAAAAATCCCTGTGAACTCATCTGTACGTCTCTGATTCATTTTGTTCTATGATACGTCTGCGATAAAGATTCTTGGGAGATATCTGCCACCCACAAAGTTTGCCCCTTATCGTCACTTTCATGTTGACTAAATCATCTGTTTCCAGAGCCTTACACTTCCTTTTCCAACCAGTAGAAAAATTGGCATTACTCTCCTTTTGTGAATTTTATTCTCAATTCTCAATGGAATTCTACCATTTTTTCTTCCTAGAAACCACATTTAAGAGTTCAAAAGGCCAGGCGCGGTAGATCACGCCTGTAATCCCAGCACTTTGGGAGGCCGAGGTGGGTGGATCACAAGGTTAAGAGCTCAAGACCATCCTGGCCAACATGGTGAAACCCGTCTCTACTAAAAATACAAAAATTAGCCGGGCATGGTGGCACGTGCTTGTGGTCCCAGCTACTCAGGAGGCTGAGGCAGAAGAATCATCTGAACCCAGGAGGCAGAGGTTTCAATGAGCCAAGATTGCGCCACTGCACTCCAGCTTGGCTACAGAGCA